CTGCACGGAAGAGGACAGATCGGCTGCGTGCTTCAAGTGCGGAGAAGCTGGTCACAAGTTCACAGAATGTAAGGAGAACCTAAGCTGCTTCTTATGCAAGGCGAAGGTAGGTGACAAGGTGAATACCACCCACGTCCCAGGCAGCGGCGCATGCGGAGTCTTTAGAACGGCTCTCGAGGAAGCAAAGAAGACTCTCGCACGAACCAAGAGCAAATAGGCCAGGAAGATAGGGAAAGCAAGGGTCGCGCGCGCGACGAAAGGGAACCTCATCCATGAAGACAGAAGCTTAACAGCAGTTCCGTGGATCGATCTTCAACAACATCTGGAAGGGTTCAAAATACAAAGGGTTTTTAGTATGGTATAGCTGACATAAGTCCTTCGCACTCAATGCAAGGCCATCAGTCGAGTCCTACATGATTCAATTTATGCTTCACATAAATTGTTTCTCCATAAAGGATTTTAAGCTGTCATAACCTTTCTAGCCAAATGATTAGTCATTCGGCTGTAAAGGTAATGGCAGTCACCCTTGCAGTAAGCAAAAAAAAAAATTTTTAAATTATAAAAAACATTTAACTTTTAATATTGTTTAGAAGTTTAACCAAAGAAAACTAGAAGACATGACTGTTGAATTGATTTCAAGAAAATATTTACCTATAAATTTTTTCAACGATGAAATAACACAACAATATTTTAGCTATTTGAATAAAAATGCCGTACTGCCTAAACGTAATCAGCTGCGAATCATGATTGATCAAAAATTTACGGACTTACAAATAAAAGTGAAAGAAATGTTACAAATAATCTCTTCTAAAATATCTTTTACTGTAGATGGATGGACTTCCATAGCACAAAAATCATTCAATGGAATAACAGGTTAAATACTACATTAATTATTATATTATATTATATTATTTTAATTATAAATGTTAAATATAAACATAATGTATATAATTTCAACTGATTCGAAAAATCATACATTAATTAAATATTTTTATAGTTATTTAATATAAATAAAAATTTAGCCTTGAAACTTTAAGATCGGTCCTAATTCCTTTTATAATGTATTTTTTAAACATAATTTATAAAAAAAATATAAAAGAAAATATAAATTTCACATTTTCTAATACAGTCTTATTAATAATGTTTTTATTTAAGTTTCATTTAATATTTAATCTAAATTTCATTAAAATTTGTTTAATTAATTAATTTTATATTAATTTGTAAATTGTAAATAAATAATTTAATTATAGGACACTACATTGATGACAAATGGAATCTACAGTCCATAACGTTAGATTTGATTCCATCATATGGAACTCATACTGGAAAAAGTACCGCAAATTCTTTTCATAAATTTCTAAAGGAGTATATTTAGAAAATAAAGTACAGGGGATTACTTTGGATAACGCCTCTTTTAACTCCACCTTTATTTCTGAATTAAAGTCACTCTTAAATCTGGATATTTCTTCCGAAGATTTGCGTTTTAAATGCTTCGCACATATTTTGAATTTTGCGGTCCAAGATTTATTAAAGGAGTTAAATTTACAAGTAGACACTGACTTTGAAATTGAAAGCAACGTAGAAGAAAAATTGGACGATTACGAAAATGATCATGGTGACGATCACGACAATTGTTGATCATCACGAAAATGATGGCGATCACAACAATCATTTTAATAATAAATCTAGAGACATTGAAAATTAAAATTGAAGAGGAATTTGATGCTCGAAGAAAAGCAAATCAGAAATATGTTCCAAGTGCGATGGTCGTAAAAAGATCGGAAAATCGAGGGGGACAAAACAGTAAAAATAAATACGAGAAAAGTGAAAAAGATAATATTCCAAAGAAAGATTTTAAAATCAAGTGCTTTAAATCTGGCAAACTTGGGCATCGTGCTAAATTTTGTAGGAACGCGAAAAAGTCGAGCTATTAATCGAGTAGTAATGTTGAAGACGAATGCTTCTTTACAGACGGAGCGAAAAACGAATCTCTGTTAATTCGAAACGGTGCGAATTGTCAAACCTGGTGTTTAGACAGTGGCAGATTTGGCTCACACTGCCAGTGTGTTAGGACAATACGTTGACTGCTTCAATAAACATCATTGGAGTGCCGCAAAAAGAGTTCTTCGTTACCTAAAAGGAACTCAGAATCTTGGAATATTTTACAAGAAGGGGAAGGACTCTTTAATTGGTTATGTGGACGCGGATTGGGGAGGATCTGTGGATGATGGAAGGAAAGGAACACGAAGCAAACTTATTTGATATAAAAACCAATGTTAAAAAAATACGAGAGGGAATTTACTCAGGTAGTCAAGTGTAAACTCTTATGTACAAGTTCTGTAACAACGCAAAAAACTCTGTAATACCTCTGTAATAACTTGATATACTCTATATTAACGTGTAATACTTAGTAATAAGGGTAATATGAGGTGTAATACCGGTAGTCAAGTGGAAACGTTTTTAACTAGTAAATTCCCCTCGTAAAAAATAAGTTTCGTATGTCACTTTTGGTAAAAAATGTACAGCACATAGAATGTGTGTTTTTTAAGACCTACAATTTTTATCAAAAACATTTGTCAAAATTTTGCGTTTTTTACGAGTTAATTGCAAAAAACCATAATTTTATGGTGTTTTTTATGGTTTTCACCATGATAATCAAATTTGCGTCAATTTTCACTATCATTTTCGTAATCAGCGTACAAAAATACATTATCACAAAAATATTATTTAATCAGTTGAAATCGAATATAGCTATCAAAAAATATTAGTTACTCTGGTTAAAATGTACTTCTTAAATGTCGACAAAAGATAATTCATATTAGAAAACATTGCGCAACTAATTTAAAAATTAAATTTTTTTTGCCAAAAAGTCCCCATCTCGTGAGATTTGCCCATATATTTCATAGATTTCATGAGTATCTAATACCCAAGTAACACGTAATATTACATTGATATTAAAATGTCCGCCTCATGGTAATATTACCGGAAAATGTTACTGTAATATTACACGGTAATATTCAGGCATTATTACTGTAATATTACAGTAACATTACAGTAATATTATACTGTAATATTAAGGTAATAATACACGAGAATATAGCAGTAACATTAAAAGAATATTATTTCACGAAAAAAATGTACCCAACCGGGGAATCGAATCCCGAACTCAAGACATACAAGTCCAGAGTTTTACCAACAAGCCACACTGACTTACAATATATTTATGATTGTGATGCTTTATGAGTAACTTAAATTAATCTGTAATATTACTGTAGCATTACCGTAATATTACAGTAATATTACTCGATAATATCACAATCAGGCGGACATTTTAATATCAGTGTAATATTCAAGTAATATTACCAGGTAATGTTATTGTAATATTACAGTAATATTACGTGCTAGTTGAGTACATATCTGTGTTGAGGCTCAAAATTTCTGAAATGGGCCTCTATTTTTTTTATGGCGAGATTTTTATATGTCATATAAATAATTTTATAGTATTTTCGAATCCAAATAAGATCCGAAAGTTGTTTTGCAAAAGTTTTATTTTTCTAAGAGTTATTTTTTAAACAATTTTTAAGCATCCAATTAGTAAAAAAAGCTTTTTTATGGTTTTATTTGATAGATTTTGCTAAAATTTGATATGAGTAATATACAACATTCATACTTTCAAACAAAAAAAATTGTTTGATTTTGTCCATAATTTGATTATAATTGAAAACCACCTAATTTTTTATATTTGAGATCCAAAAGTAATTACCAGTTCAATAGTTATTATAAACTAATTATTTTTAATTGTTTAAACAATTTTTATAAATAAATTTTTTGATTTAAATTCCTAATTACGAAATTGATGACATATTGAGCGAAATGAGAAATATTATCAGTCAAGTTAAACGTCTATTATTTACTTTATTTAATTTTTACATATAGCATTGTTTAAACAACCCTTAATTAACAAATACACAGTACCGCTGTTTTTACATGTTTCAGATTCGGTTTTTTAACCCTTGCGTGCCTGAGCTGGGTCCCTCGGACCAAGAAAATTTACTTTTATTTCAGAAAATATTTTTTCAAAATCGTCATCCAATTAGATAAGCTGATGCTATAACGTACATTTTAAACAATATGTGAGCATAAAATATTGAATATTCTGCTATTAAAGTCTTGTTTTTTATTGAATTAAAGCAGCTGGGTCCCTCGGACCCACCTCAGGCACTCACATCAAAAAAAGAACTCAGGCAAGTGAGGGTTAAGTTTCTTTAAATATAATGTATTTTTATAATGGTTTAAATGTTATAAATCTTCAAAAATTCACTGATGGCATTTTTAAAAAAATTCAACCCTCTCCTTCTGCTAAAGTTTACGATAAAACCTAACAATACTTCGTGTTTAAATTACTCACCTATAGGGCTATGTGTAAAAATTAAATAAAGAAAGTATTAGTCGTTTACGTTGACTAATAATATTTCACATTTCGCTCAATATATGTCATAAGTTTTGTAATTAGGAACTTAAATCAAAAAAATTGTTTATATAAATTGTTTAAACAATTAAAAATAATTAGTTTATAATAACTATTGAACTGGTAATTGCTTTTGGATCTCAAATACAAAAAATTAGGTGGTTTTCAATTACTAAAAGTTAAGAAAACAAACTATTTGCAATTAATCTACTAAATTGTTTATAACAATTATGATCAGTTTTTAAAAACTTTATTAACTATCAGAATATGTTTCTAGGTGAATACGTTAAAATTTGTCGCAATCTGGACATGTCTGAGGTATCCATAATTTTTTTGGTTTATTCCAAGGCTGTCCCTGGGATATCTTTTTGCCCTACGGGTAAACTTTTTGACTCTACTGAATGTATGAAATAACTGGAAAAGGAAATTATTGTCAGAATGGAAAATAATTAAAAGAAAAAAATATTTAAAGGCAGAGGACCAGAAAATATTTAAAACCAATTAATTACTATTATATGATTCCTCTGCGTACCTGGTTTGGCCTCCTCACCTGGGTCAAAGCCTCCATTCTCAATTTTAATTGTTCTTCCATTTCAGGCAATTTCGAATACTGAGCCAGTTTTTGTTCGGCTAGTTCCAATTTTTCCTGAATCGCATTTATTTTTTCTTCTTGTAACTATAAAAAGTAAATAAAACAAAGTACAAAATTTGCAACATGTAGAAATAACTAATATAAGTTAAATAGATGTAAGAATTACCTTAAGTTGAGCTTCTTTGTGCTGCAGTTCTTGTTCTAATTTTTCATTTAAATCATGTAAACTAATAGATTCCCTTTGAGCGTTGAGATATCGTTTCTCAAGAGTTACAATTCTCTCTTCTTGGTCTTCTTTTTGTGCAACATTCTCTCGTAAGTCTCTTTGCAGCTTAACATTTGTTTCTTGTGACCTTAGAAATTCTTTTTGAGCCTTAGATAAGTTTTCCTCTAATTCCGTTATCCGACCACTTAATTCTGCAATTCTACGCTGCCAAGTGCTTATCTCTACATTCTAAAACATACATATTTTCTGTTAGTTTTAATTCCTTCCAAATAGATTGTTTGCATTAATTTTACTTATACCATAAATGCTCAAAAAACCCGTTTTATTGTTATAAACGACGCATGGGGGGAACACATTTTAAACAAAGATATATAGCACCGCCGATTTTTTTGTTGAGTTCGATTATGTGACACTTCTGAATAATTTTTCTGCAAAATTTAAAATATCCCCTTAGCCGTTTTTAAAAAAAGTCTATTTGAGTAAAATTAAATCTCATTTTGTAGAAACTAGAACACATTTTTATTCAAAGTAAATAGCACCTCTGATTTTCTTGTTGGGTTCGATTATGTGACACTTCTGAATGATTTTTCTGCAAAATTTAAAATAATCCCCTTAGCTGTTTTTGAAATAAGTTGATTTCAGTGTACATAAATGTCATTTTTTAGGACGTTGTATTTATATTATATATAAAAAAAATTTTTGAGAAAGAGAGAAAAAAATCTTTTTATAGTTACAAAAGGCATTTCATATGAGAATACGGGGTCATGTCTCAGATTTTTCTTAAAATTCAGTAAATTGTAGTGAAAGTGGTGCTAAATAAGTATGTATAAATTTTGAATTTGAAATTTTTAATATTAATATTTACAATAATAAATTAGAACAATATTTTTTTGTTTTACTTATAACATTTTCCCTACTAAGAATAGAGAAAAATGTTGAGAATGTTTTTTACGCAAAAGACTTTAAACTTTTAGAAAAAAAAAATGATTTAAAAAAAAATATTACCTTTTTAAACAATTTGTTTAAAAAATAAAATATGTTTATATAATTAGGGGAGGATGGGTCATGAATAGTTAGGTAAGACTAATCTAGCAACCCAACCTGAATTTGTATCTGCAAACGAGTAGTATTTTTAGAAAGCCTGGTTATTTGGCTTTAATTTTGTTATACATTATTTTGGTGTAGAGTGCAATCCCTACCAGATCTGCCGCCCCAACAAGAATAACCGTATCTGCATTTAGGATGAGTCACCTACTTGCCACTGCCACTGCCACCAATAAGTGACTTAACCAAAATGTAGTTACTGCTACTCTTGTTGGGACGGCAGAGATACGAATGAAAAAGTAAAAAAAAATTTAACTATCTTTAAAGAATCCGAATGCTAAAATTGTCATAGAAAAACAGTAAATTTTCGGTTTCTTTATTTTATTCGATTTAGACTATTCAATATCAATTATTGCATTAAAATTCGTCTGAACTAAAATCTGAGGTTTAACCAATTTTCTTCAGATGATCACCAATTTCTTGGTCAATATGCTTCGTTTTTCGTACATAATTACGTACAATTATGTATATCAACATAAAAAGAACAATTAGCAGGATTTTATCGAGCCGTATTAGCTCTAACTATCCTTGCTCCATGATCCCATATTTCAGTTTTTTCTAAATTTTAAGGAACGACGTGAATTAATTTGAAAATAAATACGATATTCGTGTTCAGCAGGAAATTCCACTCCGGAAAACACTTACGAAAATAAATATTTGGAAGCACTAATATAGAAAACAGTATGATAAACACTACGTTGACATTTTAGCAAAACAGACTTTTTACAAAGATAAACTCCTGACTTCGCAAATGGTGGCATATTGACTTTTTCTTTAATTGTGTACAATTTTAAGCCTTTTAATGTTATTTTATGTTTAAATTTTTTTAAATTATTTATACACATTCGTGTAGCATTATGTCAATTTTTTTGTAATGTAAAAAGTTATGTTTTATTATAGTGTAGTAATGATAGTGATAGTAATTTCTATTATATACCTTTAAAATGCAGGAAACCATTAATAAACTATAATGAAACATAATTTTTTAAATTATAAAAAGTTACATAGCGCTACACGAATATATATAAAAATTTAAATTTTTTTTAAAATACATCCAATTCACTTAAATCTTGTTACTAAGGGGTTTTCGGGGACGCGGATTAAGAATTCGACAACAGTTTTTGAAAATCAAAAGTACCAGATGCAATATGTCGAAAGAATTTTTAAAAATTATTTTCGGTTTGTAGTTAGTTTGTAGTTTAGGTTTGGTTTCGGTTTGTACAATAGTTTGTAGCTAAGATGGTTACTAGTGTGGAGTATGAGTATCAATAATAAAGATATAATATAGTTCTCCAACGGATAATAAAACAAAGGTTAACAATTAAAACTTGTTACTAAATATAATATATAATTAACAACTTTATTATCATTTTACATAATGATAATGACAGCACGTGTTACTTGAAACATTTCTCTAATATGACTAACTAACCTTTTCCGGTCCTCTTAGCAACGGTTGCCAAGTATGGCGTCAGCCCGTATATCTATATATAGTGGGGAACATAAAGCATTCCCCACAAGTACCCATGTGCTCTCTCACAAGTGTAGATGTTGCTTGGCGTGTAGCATATATACACGATCCAACTCTCACTTCCCCATGGTCGTATAAGGCAGGTTTCCCACTACGTAGCCTTACTGATGAGTCCAGTAGTGGGGACCGGGACGAAACGACTAGTGGCTTCCAAGCTACGCTTATGGGCAGAGTTGCCAATGACCCTACCTAAACGCAACTGCGCTTGCGCTACAATCACGCTCTTATACGTCGAAAAAAGCGCGCATATATGAAATGCTTAATAATAAGAATACATTAAGAAAGCAATATAAAAACATTTTTACTATTTAATTTATTGCTTTTTGTTAATTATATTGCTTTCTAATATAAATTTTTTTTTTTTACACTCTTGCGTCTATAATAATAATAATAATAATAATAATAATAAAAATAATAATAAATTATTATTATTATATTGACAATGTAAATAAAAATTAGAAAAATAAGTATAATAAAATTAATTAATTGTTAACAATAATAATAAATTATCATTATAATATTGATAATTATAATAAAAATAATAGAAATAATAATTACAATGATAATGATATTATATTAATATTATTGTATTATATAATTATAATATTAACAATAATAAATTATTATCATTATTATTATTATTATTATTATTATTATTATATTGACAATGATGATAAAATTTAGAAAAAAAAATAATAATAATTTTATCATATTTATAAAACATTATTGGCATTATTTTTGTCACATTATTGATAATAAATTATCTATGATTACATTACATCAATATATACATATATATTTCAAAAAAATGCAGCGAAATTTTTTTGTACTTTTTTATGAATTGAAATTTTTCTCAAGTATATACTAAGGTGATTTTTATGTTCCAGAACCACTAAATTTTTTTTTATTTCCATTTTTTTCGTTTTTTAAACAAAAATAGTGGAATTAAAAAAAATGTTAGGTAGTCCGGAACATAAAAATAACCCTGTATATTAGTATAATAAACGAAACCTGTTCTCAAATATACATATATACATATATTTGAGAAAAGCTTTCAATTGTTTTACTGCTATTGACAGACTGTCTATTCTGCTACTAAAAAAGCAAAAAAAATTTCGCTGCAATTTCCAAAAATATCTGGCTGGAGAGGTGTTCTACTGATTAATTGGAGGTACTGTGAGTAGAAAATACGTTTTATTATATTGACGTTTGATTATCTCAATGTGATTTTTAATTTCGTTTGCGTGATTTTTTCCAATATAAATTCATAAATTTGGCTGTCAAACAGTTTCATTCAATTCACATTTTCATTAAAATATTCGTCTCACGAAATTAAAAATGAATTCAGCAAAGCATAAAAATTTAAATGCTTCTAAAAAAAAGAAAGAACTAAAAAATTCAGTAAAATTTCAAAATTCTTGGTTAAAGGATTCGCCATTTAAAGATTGGTTGCAACAGAATAACAGTAACGCGAAAAAAGCATACTGCGCTGTTTGCAATGTTAATTTAGTAGCAAGAAAATTAAATATTATAAATCATGGCTCTCGTGCGAAACATATCGCGAAAAGTTTGGCTGCAAATGAAATTTTGAAAACTTTAATTGCAACTGAAACATCAAAAATTATAAATGATGATGACGAATTAAAAAGAAATATAAAAATTGCTGAAGTAGCTTTAGCATCATTATTTGCTTCTCATAACATTCCTATCCATATGGTAGGAATTGTAGTAACTCTTTTAAAAAAAATTTTCAAAGATTCAAAAATTGCTGCGGGAATAAATTTAGAAAAAACAAAATGTTCTCAGATTATAAAAAATGTTTTAAGTAAAAGGGCTGAAGAAAAAACAGTAGATTCTTTAAAAAATACTAATTTTTCTGTTTTAGTAGACGAAACGACAAATACTGATGAAAAACTTTTGTGTGTTTTGGCACAGTATTTTTCACCGGAAAATAAAATTGTAACAGATTTGTGTGACTTAATAGAACTGGATGCTAAAGACTGCAGAGCAGAAAATATTTATAGTTCTTTTAAGTCAAATTTGATTAAAAAAAATGTTCCCTTAAAAAATATTGTCGGCGTTGCATGTGATAATGCCTCGGTTATGGTCGGTTGTAAAAATTCATTTTTTTCAAAATTAAAATCAGATGTCCCAGATGCAATTTTAATGAATTGTATTTGTCATTCGTCACATTTGATTGCGAAAGACAACTGCAATAAACATTTACCACGTTTCTGCACTCAATTATTATCAATGATTTCTACTTATTTTTCGCGAAGTGCAAAACGTGTTGCTCATTTGACTGAAATTCAGGAATTTTATTCAGGTGAATCAAATAAAATTTTAAAACTTGCTACAACGAGATGGTTATCTCATCAGCATTGTATTGAAAGAATTTTAAAATATTGGCATGCATTAACAGATTATTTTAATTTAGAAGTCCTAGAATTAAAAAGTCAGTTTTTAAATAAAAAGAAAAAAATCAGATTTTATCGGAAAATAATAATTTAAATGACAATGAAATAAATGAACAATTAAATATTTCAGAAGCTGAAAAAATTTTGAATTTTCTTACAAATAAGGAAGTTAAAGC